GATCTAACGGTAGAAATTAATGGAATACTTAATTATAGCGAAATAGTTATGGGATTAAATTGACAAAGGGTAAATTACATTTACACCTCCTAAACTATCACTCTTTTTCCACTTTGCCCTCTTAATTTTCAAATTTCTCACATTATACCCTCAACTATGTGATTAGTTTCACATTGTTCTAATTATTGATGTCTAGTACATATTTAATGAAAAATTATTATATTTACTCCTTAAACTATGTAATTTTTTTTCACTTTACTCTGACACATCAATAATTTTCATCCAAAAAGATAACAAACGTTTGTTATTGGGACACTGTGAAATAAAAGTGTTAGTTTATGGTGCAATGTAAAAATCTTGTAATTGAGAGGGCAAAGTGAAAAAAAGTGATAGTTCAAAAGGTGTAAAGTGTAGTTTACCCATTTGAAAAAATTAAAATGGACCAAATTAAAATTAAAGACAAAATTTAAGAATCAACTATAATTTTTACCCCATTGCTTATCATTTTGTATGGTGTCAAAAATTATCTCAAAAAATCATGTGGAAGACTACCATCCTTACTTCGAAGTAAATATAATTGGGATTGGGTAGCTGTAAAACTATCAACTCTCTCCTTCCTCATGATGAAAATAGGCTCGGTGCTGGAGCAGTTGTCTTGTTACTCTGCATCTGGCTGGCATATGGAAATTCTCCTCTCCAAGGCGCCATTGAATTTCAAGGAGAACCTTTTGACGCGATGCCACAAAAAGTCAACTATATCAACTCGACAACTCATCCCTTCCCTCAATAACAGTTTTTTTTTAAATCCTTAGCTAAAATGTTATAGGGATTAGTTATAAATTTTGATTTTTTGAATTCAAATTTTGACGGCTGCCATCAAACCATACTTCTTATCTCTTGTTTTATTGTTTTTCGTTTATTCCTTCCCTCAATAAACAATTTTTTTTTTTGGTTTAAACCTTAGCGAAAGTGGTAAAATGGATTAACTGTAATTGCAGATATTCTAAATCGAATCTTGGCAACCACTGGAGTTAGGTCATAAGAGATTAGATTTATCTCTCATAAATATCTTAATCTTAGTATAGATGACCTGTCTTTTATCAGATTTGAGAAAAAAATTAGTCAAAGCATACGTAAACTGACTCGAATACCCCTAAACTAGTCTACCAAAATTACTCATGATGATATCTCGAATATGCCATAAGAACGAGCTTGGGAAACAAGATCAGGTCAGGAGGTCTGATAGAATACTAGGAGCTCAAAAGTCCGAGGCCAGAGCTCCCCTTAGGGAGATAATAGCGGGACAGACTAGAGAACAGCTGGATAACTGCAAAAATTGGGTTCAAGACATGAAACTCTCAACCAATCGATATTCTCTCTCAAAATCAAGGAGAATCCCACTAATGGCTGGCAGAGATCTCGGCTGAGATCCGACAGAATGGGGAATAGTCCTATAAATACTATGTAATGCCTCCATAGAGGGGGCAGAGAAAAAAACAAACCCTAATTTCAAGATATACCGAATTGTAACACATTAGAGTGGTGAATAAAAGAGAGGGAGCAAGAGCCTCCATTAAAGAAGTGAACTAGCTGAGCTCCTAAGCCGATGAACTATTATATCTCTTACTGTGTGCACCCCTCAAATCCCCTCAGCATTACACTCCAGCATCACACACGAGCCTTGTAATTTTGATCCACAATCATCACGCGTCACCTGCAATTCCTGCTCACCCACTTTGATTCACACCATCAACTCGCAATTTATAATTTATTATGAATGATTTTATTTATTTCATCTAAGTCACTGACCGTATTTATTAATTTAATTATTTTTTACAATTGGATTGACAGTAAAACTAATATTATTGGTTGGGACCTTTTATCAATTTAATAATTATGATGCATTTGGTCCAAATTACATTTTTTTTTATATTCATTAATTAATCACTATTATAGTCCGCATCGAATAATATACATGTAGCAGAGGAGAAATTACCCCAGATTAAACCCGGAATTTGGAAGAATTGCTTAGGCAGAACAGCCACATTGCGTCACTTCGGCTGCATATCATTTCGTACCGTGTTTGGTCGAACCACTACTACCAATAAAAAAATCGTACGGCCTACCACTTTTTTAAAGTTCTTGTATTGGATAAGTTAGGCGAGAGTTTTGTGGACTAAGATGTTCCTAATTTGTACTCAAAACAACTTGGCACAGTTAACCACAAGTAACCATAGCAAAAAAGTTACCTTATATTTACCCTTATGCCGGATAACTTTAGACATGACTCATAAATCGATGCGAATTTAATGAATTTGAGTATAGTCTTGACGGATTCGAATAGTTAATTGATTAACTTGACAGATCTGTGAAATAAACAAACTAATTTTTGTTTAACCCATAAATTCGTTTCAACTCGTTTAATCCGTTAACAATGGTACTATAATTTTTTTTTTAGAAAAAGTTAGGTCTTTCAACCTCTGTCTCATCTCACACTTCCTATTTCTCGTAATTATTTAAATTTAGTAGTCATTTAATATTTATTTTTTGTTTTTATTTTTTTACTTAGTCATGATTTATTGTTATAGTAAAGAGGTTAAACATTTGTAATGTGTGGCGAGTTGATAATTTTTCATGTGAACTCGAAATACTCTAATATATTTTCTTATTTAATGGGGGACACACGAGTTGTTTGGGGTAACATGTCTAGTAAACGATTCGTGTATGAGTATGATAATTAAATTTATTTATATAAATGAATGGGGTATGAATGAAGGGTTTTTTTGACACAAACTCATTTCACTCGACATGATTGTCAAGCCTATTTACCCCTATCCATTCTCTCTCTCTCTCTGTGTAAAACAAGTGAAAAAGAACAAAAGTTGAAATTAAACTATCTCCCTTCAGTAAAAAAAACAAAAGCATGAAATCTCTTTCTCGACAATACTAGCATATCATTTTTTTTTTGTGTTTTGTCTCTCTCTCACATAAAAAAAATATATTTTTAAAAAAACATTAATTTAATATTTCCATCTGAAATTATTTTAGTACCGTCCCCGAGTCATAGAGATGCCATGTTTGCCATCTCAATCACCGGACAGCTTTTGAAGCATTTGGGGCAGATGAGCTCACAAGAAAAAAATTAAGTGAGGAGAACTTTTTTCAGTCAAAAAGTTAACAGTTGATAGGTGGAATCACAAGAGAACACAACAACAATGTCAAATACACCCATTGCCTGGCTATTTTTGGACTTGCATTGGACATAAATTGACATTCATGAGCACATCCTTAATCAAATATTTAGCTAAAAAAATAAGTAAAAAAAGGTTGACATAATAATATTAATCTGACCAATTTAAATGAATATTCAGTTAAATAATTGGTGAAATGTAATAAAAAATATATATGAGTTAATATCTTTTTTAGTCCCTAAAGTATGCCAATTTTATCAATTTAATCCTCATTTTATTAATTTTTATCGATTTGGTTCGTGAAGTTTCAATTCGTGTCACTTTAGTCCATAATCAGACAATTCGTTAAATTTTTTTGATGGAAGTAATCATGTGTCTTTTTCAGACCGTATTATATGTCCAATACGTGATCATTTCGTCAAAAACCTAACAGTTCGTCTAGTTAAGGATCATTTAAACCCGAATTAAATATTTTAAGAACTAAATTGATAAAATTGATATTTTTTAGACTAAACTGACAAAATATGCATATTTTAAAGACCAAAAATTCTATTAACCGAAAATATAATGTACTTAATGTATACTTCCCAACCTTATTAGTGGGGACTAAACTAATTAATATAAAAGCATGTGTCGTTTGGAGTCAAACAAAATTTACGTTACTGAATTCAAAATGTCCTATGATTTATTATTAATTTTTAAAATCTTTTTGATATGACAAAAACAGAGATTTTAAGGGTCTAAACGATGAAATTCTGCTAAAAATTAAAGGAGTTTATGGCAGAGCCACGAGTCTTGATCGTTGACCCGATTTGGATCAAACACCACTAATCCCACTAAATTTTGAGTCAGATCCATTTTATATCTACTATTATTTTTTTAGCTTTTTGTTGTGCTTTGAAGGCACGGTGGTCAGCCTACTCCAAGTAATTTACTGTTAGCTATTCTACCTCATAGCATCTCCAATAAGATTTTGTATTTTAGTTATTTAAAAATACATTTTTTTTATTTTAACTACTTATTTTTTCAATAAAACACTCCAACAAATTTACTATATTTTCACTATGTCTTTTAAATATTATTTTTCATATTTTTTTACCCTTATTGGAAAACAATGGTGAGAGGGAGAGAGAGAAAGAATGGAGGGAAAGACAAAGAATGGACAAGAAATGTGAGAAAAGACAAAAAAATAGATAATAAATTACAAATTATTTATACAAAATACTACAGTGATACTCTAAATATAGAAAAATTACATTTTACCTATTATGAACATCTTATTTGGAAATATGATTTTTATATTTGAATAACTAAATTTTAGTTATTTTTAGAGTTTTAGTTGATCTCTTGATGCTCTAAAGACATAAACGGACTTTAGTACATTATACGTTATATAAATTATATAGAAGTAAATGGCTCTATCATTTGACCAAATTAAAGAAAGCATGTTTTGAACTGGCACCAAGCTGTGTTAATTGTGATTGAACACTCCATTCTAAAAAATAATCAGCCATACATAATTCACAAAAAAGTTATATTGCGTAGCACGACCTTCAAACAACTCATCAACCAGAAAACTTAGTCTTTTCGCATGATATCTTTCAAACCAAGCTTCGCTGGTGCTCTTTAACGTTGGTCTGGTCATCAAAGTTCACATGTCTGTCCTTCCCTATCAAAACACACACCACAAACACATTTAAGGAGAGCCATGAACAAAGAGAGCTCAGAAAAAGAAGATTGAAGAACAACCCACCTCTTTTCTGATTGTCATCTCTCTCTCTCTCTCTCTCTCTCTCTACATAAATAATTCTCAAATATAGAGGAACTTCATAGAAGCTCATATACAGGACACAAGCCCATGTTGATGCCAAATAGAAGTTTGCTCAAGGTCATTGTTCTTGGAGATAGTGGGTATGATTGAAACACCCTCATATCTTTTACTTCTCTTTCTTGTTTTGTTCTTTCTTTTCATGGCTTTAAGTTTCCTGAAAATTGCCCTCCTTTTTTGATCATTTTTAGGGTTAGCAATACTTTTGATCTTTAAATAGTATGTATTTTTTGTCAATTTAGTTCTCGTTGTATCAATTTTGTCCATAAAATAGTTAATTCATACATTTTGGTCTCTAATCAGACAATTTGTCAAATTTTTTTACATAAATGATCATTTATCATTTTTTAGACAGAATCACGTGATTATTCTATCAAAAACTTAACGGTCCATCAAATTTTTTGACGGAAGTACTTACGTATCATTTTTTTTAGATAGTATTATGTGATCATTCTATCAAAACTTAATGGTCCATCTATGTAGGAACTAAAATAACACGAATTATTCAAACTTTAAGGATCAAATTAACAAAATTGATACAATGAAGACTAAAATAACAAAAAATACATATTTTAGAGACTAAAAATACTATTAACCTTAATTTTTATACTTGAGTGCATTTTCTATCACCTTATGGTTGTTGATTATTTTTCCTGTTTTATGGCCAATTTTCAGGGTGGGAAAGACATCTTTGATGAATCAGTATCCATATTAATGGCATGTTGGTTATGTGAAAAACTTGTTTTAAGTTGTTCAAAATTTGATGAGTTTGGTTGTTTATTATCCTACATGCAAATTTTTTTTATTACCGGCAACTTTGCCTGGTTTTTTTGAAAAATTTTGGTCATCGACTTGATACCAACCCATTGACTAGTCAATAGCCCGTCTGCCCAGCCCAGGTCCACAATGGGCCATGGACTTGGAGGACCCGTGACAGGCCCGATCCATTATTGAGGCTTAACATACCAAAACTGTTCTTAGACTGTCAGCTATAGATTAGTAGTAAACCACAATTGATCCAATAACCATTTATGTGCGACCTTTGACCCACGCCTCCTATTTGTTCAGGGCGGGCAGCATGAACTCTAATCCAATCCGTGTATTCAAACTCGCTGCTAAGATACTTAGTAGACTCCTTAATCTTGATAGGAAGATGGCTTTTTGAATTTACTGGTTAGATCCTATTGTTTGGATTTGTTGGTCCTTGACTGTTATTTCAGATATGTGTACAAGAAATTCAGTCAGCAGTACAAAGCAACCATTGGAGCTGACTTTGTGACAAAAGAACTGCAAATTGATGACAAATTGGTCACTTTGCAAGTGGGTGATTCATCTGAAAGTTTTATTGAGTTTTTTGGGTGGTGATTTTTGATATAACACATTAACACAATACAAATCTGTCACAAAGTTAATGAATTGAGATTGAATAGCTCTGTAACATGATTCTAGAAATGTGACGACTCGCTAACGTCGTGAATAATAAACGTGTCGAGTTATTATCAAACATCGATAATCCGCATCGACATGTCAAACAAACACCTTTACCTAGTAAAATATGAAGAAAAAATTTAAAAAAATTTCATTCTTCCCCATTTCTTCATGTAGAATTGTATTAATCCTTGTTCCTGAATTTTGCAAGTGCATGAATTGAGTAGATTTTTAGATGGAAAATCAATGAGTGATTGAATTATTTGAGAGAGTGGGTCCTAATTGTGGATTTTATGGGAAAAGTAAACAAATCAAACTAGTGTCAGATCATCTTATGACACAATTATTTGAACAATTGGGGTTATGGTTATTGGTATTTGGCACAACTCGAAATGAACCAACAAAATACAATTTGATTGTCATCCCTAAAATTATCTAAATGTGATTTGCTGAACAGATTTGGGACACAGCAGGGCAGGAAAGATTTCATAGCCTGGGTATAGCATTCTACAGAGGGGCAGATTGCTGCATTCTTGTATATGATGTTAATGTGCCCAAATCATTTGAAACACTTCAAAATTGGCATGAAGAGTTTCTCAAACAGGTGATTGTTGCCTATTTTTCTTAGTTCTTCTCCTTTGCTTTTAGTACTCATTAAACTGTTCTTTTTACAAAATAGAGCACGATCCTAATCTCAAGTGATAATAGAGCCGAGTAATAAACTCAAACGTCTTGAGTTCGAATTTTGGCAGTCTCTTTGGGGCAAGCCATGTGGGATTTACCCCTCATGAATACCCTAGTCTCAGCGTTGATAGTCTACCTTTGATCAGACCGAGTAAAAAATTAGTCGAGGTGGCCCGAATAACCCTGACCGTTAAACCAAAAAATAAATTAAGAGCATAACTCATGTTGTCCCGAATAGAACATTAATAAAGGAGAAGTCTGATATGATATATAGATAGCTATTTATTCACATCTTTAGTAAATACTTACTCCCAATCGTATTCTACATTCTATCCTAGGGACATTAAGTTTGAACCTCTCCTCCCTTACCGTTATATGAAAAACAAAAACATTGTTTGATGTTATGCACAAAAACACAAAACACTACAAGACTTGCACGAATTTGTATACATGTCATCTAAAGATTCTAAAATTGAATCAAATTACTCAAGCTCTCGGATCCATGGACTAAAAGCTCAAGAAATTTCAAATCAAAATCCAAAGGGTTTTACATCGATTCTACTACGAATCCGAACGAAATACAAGATATTCACATCAAATTAAAATCTTTATAGTTTGTCTTAGTTTAGCAACTATAATTCAATACATTGTCCTTCCAAATAGTTGATTTGATCACTGGTCTTTATGAGGCATAAATATAAATTCATTTATAATCATTGCTTAGTGTTAATTTTATCCCTATGTGACTGCAGGCAGATCCAACTGATCCTGACACATTTCCATTCGTATTGATTGGAAACAAGTTGGATGTAGATGGTGGAAGCAGCAGAGTGGTAAGGATGTCAAATTTATACTTTCACCACCCCAAGAATAGTTCATTCTCGCTTTGCCCCTAACTATTAAATTTCTTACATTACACCTCAACTACTTGAATTAGTTTCACAAACCATGAACCAAATGCCTCAAATGTTTCGAATGGAAAATATCAAATATATAGTAAAGTACACAGTTTCAATGTCTATAAGTGAGGCAATGTGGAATAAATAACTATAGTTGGAAGCAGGGGCGGAGCCAAGTTATGGCCCAAGGGGGCATGCAACCCCCCCCCCCCCCCCTCCCCAAGTTTCCAAATTATACATTATACCTCTAAATTATACTTTTGATTTTTTTTCATGCCTCTCAAATTTTAAAAATTATACGTTATATCACATTATGATATTGATTTTACTTCACCCTCAGCTATTGGTTTGACCACCTTGCATCATTAATTATTCCAATTGTGACATTTTGGACTAATCATTCAATTTTAGTTTTGCATAAATTGTTAAACTTTGAATTATTTGTATAGTGCAATGTAATCGACCAATTGTCTATATGTAAAGTGAAATCAGTGTTGTTGTTTAAGAATAAAACTAATATTCATAATTGGAGGTGCAATGTAAAAAAAAAAGTTAAAGGGACAATGTGAGATCGGTAAGGGGGTCAAAGGGTAATTTACCTTTATTGGAACTGTAGTGTTAATACTTGTTCTTGGTTTGCAGTTTTATTAAGCAACATTTTATGCAGGTTTCTGAGAAGACAGCAAGGGACTGGTGTGCTTTAAAGGGAAATATACCTTACTTTGAGACATCAGCAAAAGAGGATTACAATGTTGATGCTGCTTTTTTGTGTATAGCAGAAACTGCCCTTGCCAATGAACATGAGCAGGACATGTAAGTATATATGTGTTATCAGGGACTGATTTTCTTCAATGTTTTATACCCCCTTTGCACCTAGATTCCCTTCCAAGGTCATTGTAACTAGGCTAGAGAGTGGGTCGTATTGCATTAAATTCATTTCGTCTAAATTGTGTCGTGTTAAAATTTTCTTAAACTATATGCGACCCATTTAGGGAAAAGACTACGGTCCGTACCGAAAATTATAAATTTGTTGGTCAAGTTATAATTTTTTGAGGTGCAAGTTATAACTTTTTTTTCGGTATCGTAGAATTACCCCCCATTTAGAGTTGTGTATAGGCGGACTCAAGCCATGTCGTGTTCATATTATATATACATTGTGTTTATCCAAGTTCGTATTGTATTTATTCAAGTTTATAGTCTAACAGACCCATCTGTCACCGTCCAAACTAGCTAAGACTATACACATACCCAACAGAACCAAATGGAATTTTCTCAATTTTTCTTTTTAACTTTCGGTTGCTATAAAAAAATACCTTATGAGGGGTGGAAGTTTAATAAATTTTCAATGTATACACCATTTGATTTGGGTTTGTTACTTACCATCAGCAACAATTATGAGAGGAAAAACAAAAAAAGCCTAATCTTTCTTAGCAGGTGTCTTCAACAAAAGCAAATGATCATATTAAAAGATCTCTAGATGTTCTTTCCATAATCAGCACATAACTCATTCTTCCCTTTGCAGCTATCTCCATAGAATCTCAGAATCTATTTCTGAAACTGAGCAAAGTGGAGGATGTGCATGTTGAGTTCAGCCACTACAAAGTTACAGTAATTCTGTTTATATGGTTCTTTCTTTTTGCTAGCATTTGTTATAGTTAGAGAAGGAGAGACAGAGAGAGTACGCACATGTATGCAAGTCACTCATTTTCTAGAGACCTATTTATTTTGTGATTCTAAATAAATTTGAATGTACATTCTTGTGAACATGTATATTGTAATAAACAAATAAGAAAAGAGTTGTTACAAACATAAGAGGAAAGTAGTTCGATGGACATGTTTCAGTTTTTATCAAATGAAACTAATCAAACATTTCCAAAACATCTCATAGTTGGGTATTCAATGGTGGAAGGTTTTCAAGACCTATCTATTAACTAATTTGATTCCTTTATATATGTACTAATGGTCATACAATGCAATCCATTGAACGTTTTACATTGTCTTCGTCATTGAACGTTTTACAATATTAATCATTCTTTTTCTGGTACACTGGAAAGATAAAATGAGAACCACTAAGCTCTCTAATGAAAAAGGTCCTGGCCAAATCAGTCGGAAGTACCGCTCTAACCTCCACCGAAGGGCTACCTAAGAAAACAAACTTTTCCTCCTATCTGACTCCCAGGTTTGCAAGAGCACCCGCACATTGGTTTCTTTCTCGAAGGAGATGGTTCACTGCACGGTTCGAATCACCTAACAGCCTTTTGCAGTTGGCAAATGAGAACACTGTTGGGGTTGGAATCCTCCGTCGGGTGCTTCAGCAGTGAGTAGACTTCATATGAATCCATTTCCACCTCAACTCCAGACAAGCCTTGGTCCTTGATCAGCCTTAGGCTTTTGAACAATGCCCACATTTCTGCTTTAATGCTGGTCATTAGGTTAAGTTTCCCATAGAATCCTGCAATCCAATGCCCTTGATCATCCCTTAAGACTCCTTCCAAGCCTGCTTCCCCTGGATCTCTTTTTGGTCATCCATCCGTATTAAGCTTGACCCTAACTAATAGTCGGGGTGTGTGCGATGTACGAGATTTATATTCTCATTTTGTTTTAATATTCCTACTCACTTCATTCAAACACAGGTAATCATGCACTAAGATGTATATGAGGAATTTTGTATAGGAAGATTTTATTAAAGTCAAGAAAGTAAAATTCATATATAGCGTGGGATGTTATATAAGGTGCGGATTTTTTTTTTTTAAACAGGGGAGGGGGAGGAGATTGAATTCGATACATCTAATATCACACAAAGAATCATTAATCATGGAAGTTGAATCAGCTGTTACATGTGCAATATAATTTTTTTTACTAAAATTAAAGGAAAGGAAGGCCTCTCAAGGTATTTTGCTACCTAATTTGTTTGTTAATTATGTTCTTTTTTTTTTTGGTACATGTTTGTTAATTATGTTCAACCATAACAGTAAGATGTTGATTTGATATAAATAATTCAAATAAATAAATTCGGGTTCTATTCAAATCTTTTAAAAAAATTGTCAAATAAAGATTTAGGGAGAATTGCACTTTCCACGGTGAAAAAATTTAGAACTCTCAATGTTCCCCTCAAATTTTAATTTTTGCATATTTCACCCTCAATGTCATAAAATAGTTATAATATATGACACCTTAACTTTAGTTACTATTTTTGTCAAATTTTACTGCATGGAAATAGTAAAAAAAGTTAGCATGATGGCCGCTTTGCACCATTTCATGACAAGACATTGAGGGGGTAATGTGAAAAAATAAATTTTGATAGTATAAATGAAAAATTTTAAAATATTTTAGGGTCCAAAGTGTCATTCGTTCAAAGATTTAGGGAAAGAAAATGTAAACAATCAACGGTCCCGATGTAGAAGATAAACCTACTCAGGAGAAACACTCGATCAGCACAGCTCCCACTCAGCAACACTGACCCGCCTTCAAGAGAGAGAGAGATAATCTGACATCCCAATCGGACCCAAACAAACCCTAATCCATCGACGCCAATCAGCTGTGAGAAGAAAGCAAACGAGGAAGACGACGACGAAAAGCTAAGCTTTGATCATGGCCTTCGCTTCCCGTCTTCTATCCAAATCCAAACAGGTGCAGGCGCACTCACATTCACACACACATTGATATTCACGCAACTGTGTCTACACGTACAATCGATTTGTGTTCGTCTTCGTCTTTTTGTTGATTCGTACTGGATCTCAGTTCTTATACTTTACGTTTTGTGCTCATCGAATTGAAATAGAGAATATAAATGCACGCTAATGATGTTATCGTGATCTTTGGCGATCTCGGATTTGATTAGGATTTGGACTTGTACGACATATTGTAGGGTAAGTTCTATAGAAATGACATGTATGTTTCAAAGATCAATAAGGGGGCAATCGATTGTCAAATTAAGATGGAACCATTTCTTTCTCTTTTCTTGTCGTGAAACTGAATTATCTCATACGTGATCCTAGCCCAGTTTCATTCCGTCTTAGAAGTGGTATTTTGGCTGGACATCGCAACGGTTGGTGAGAATTCCATATCAGTACTTGTTTTTAATCATTTAACATTCAAGATTGTGGGTTCGAATATAAAGACAATCATTGTAGTCCGTACCCAAAGTCAGCCCTTTAGTTCCGTTGGTTTATTAGCATCGAGGATTGATTCAACGATAATGGTATTTGGAAACGAAGTGGATTTGGTGATGTATGGACAATAAAGCCAGTTTGCTTATTTGAGTTCAGTTCTAGTCTATACTCAAACCTTGATAAATAAGTTTGTGGAATTTGGCTATATACTTAGCACTGGAATTTTTAAATTTCTCCCTTCCACTTTAAGACATAACTCATTGCTGATTTGGCAACGGCATAAGAAAAGATTCCCAGTGGGGTTTTAAATCCATGCTCTCTTTGCATTTCTGTGGAATTGCTCACCACTTCTTCTTTCTTTGGCCCCAAGATTCAGCAACATGCTCCTATTTTACTGTTATTATTATTGTTGTAGTATGAAACTATACCTTTTTAAGCAATTTATTTTTTGACAATATTACTATCAACCACTAGGTTTCGTCGGTGGTTTTGTATCTTTATCTCTTGCTTTGTGTTCATACAGTTGCCTGCTGGTCAGATCCTTTTGCAGCGGGAGCATGCTGTTCCAGTCCGTTTCTTCGCCAAAGAAGCTCCTCGCCAAGCTCTTAAGGGAGATGGTTAGTGAATTTTTATTCTCTCTTTTTTTTTTACGTCTTTTTTGTTTTATTTCATTTTTCCCTCTAGTAATAAGCATCTTATAAGGCCAAAATCAAGCATATACTTGTCATTTTATCCTAAAATACACTCGTATTTGAGTGATATCATGATTAAGGATGCTCAGCGACATGATAATGATGTGCAGCTTCTGCTGCTATTTTTGTGTATGAATGTACCCTTTTTTCCAATTTTGTCATCGTATTTATTCATGGATTGAAGTAATCTAATTTATACTTTTAAGGAGTATGCATAAGCTTATAAGATCATGTCTTGTAAGACATGTAAGCAATGAACTGTATATGCTTTCGACCATAGAAAATTGTCACTCTCAAGCAATTTGAAGTTGAGGTTTAATTTTGAATATTGGAGTCTTGACTCTTGAGCATCTATGTCTTACACATAAACCTGCGTTTGTACTGAACAGAGATGCTGAAGAACATTTTCTTGGAAGTTAAGAACAAGTTTGAGACAGCAATGGGAATACTCAGGAAGGAAAAAATCACCATTGATCCTGATGATCCAGCTGCTGTAGCACAGTATGCAAAGGTCATGAAGACTGTTAGAGAAAAGTAAGTTTTTGTTTAATGCCTCAATATTTTTCTCGCTATTAATTTGCTATTGTCTATGTGATTTCAGCGACAAAAAAATTCAGTGTAGCCAATGTTGTTGGAGCATAGGTTACCATTTATCCTTTTAACATTATAGTTCATCGAATATATTCTATAAAATATCAAATCACTGCCGTTTCTTCAATGAGAAAGTAAATATAGGAGTGATAAGAAGCTTATAAATATATGCTGGTCATATGTTAGGAGCAGGAAAGATTATATCATTACGATCAAATAAACTAAATTGATGAAAGACCCGAGGCATTAAATTGGGTTCGTGATTTCCCGCACCCTTTACTACTGCCGCAGAACTTTACACTATTGATTTGTTCATTTTTGTTTGGCCCCACCTTGATTCTCCATGATACATGATTATCATGATTCAACATCATAATCTTATGAATTTTTCAGGATAAGTCAAAAAATTCTTAGTTTATGCCCTAAAACTTGGCAGATGGAGGGTTACTGATTTTCAATTTTCCTGCCCCTCTCACCATTCCATGGACTGAACCAGCCCATATCACCATCCCATGGACTGAACTGTCAGATAGTGATTGTGATCACTTGATTTTTCCTTCCTTTACGGTTGCATGTCCATATGAAGTGCAACAATTTTGGTGAGGAAAACTACCAACTACGTTGGTTGTTACAGATCCTTTGGGTTCCATTTTAGATGTTACAAATGTGAAGAATACGTGAATTCACAATTATTGCAACAGCACCTCTCTCTCTCTCTCTCTCTCTCTCAGTAACTCAAATAAAACTTAATTATGATTATGCAAGCTCCCGAATCTGGATCCGCTTCATTCAACATGTGCCAAATTCCATATTTTGTCGCATCTTTGAATTTGTCTTTCCTTTAACATCTTATGTGCTGCATCATTCTTCTCCAATTGGAGAAAGCTCTACCTCGAGTTTTGAATTGTTGAAGTGTGAATGTCCTAAAGCTTTGAACTTTTTTATGTAATTGTCTATGAAAAATCTTAAGATTATGCATTGTTATGAAGAAAAGTTTTGGAGATTGATCTTCTCAATTGTATCGTCAAACTTCTATGGAATGACAAAATCAATTATCGGAAGAAAGTGCATAGAAAATAATAATTGGAATTGAGATTGAACCTGAACCTTGGTAGTGTTCCAGCCTTGCCTTCCTGTTGCTCATTCAAACTTATAATCTTTTTGATTGCACCTCTTTGTACATGGTGATATGAGCATTGTTTGAACATGGTAGCATTTGTGGCTCTTTATGTTCCCTTAGACTCTTGGTGGATGCAAAAAAATAAATTAGTTGAGGTATTAATGTTGTCGGTTGGAAGTCATCAATGGGAGGAATTTCACAAGGTAAATCCTTTGGCACTATTTCAAAGTCAGATTGTAACTTGG